GGAAGGAGACCAAAAATCTTCCAAAAATCTACTCCCAGAAACAAGTCCCTATCAAGGCTAGGGATAATGAAGATTTTCAGATTTCTTTCTGATCCTCGAAACGATATTTTTGTTTCAACACATCCTACAATATTTTGGCTCCTACCGTCAGCTGTCTTGACGAAAGAGTTCAATTTTTTATACGGCTTTCCTGAGTCCATAAATTTTTTTGCTGCTCTTGCCCCTAAACAACTGAGAGAGGCACCCGTGTCCATCAAACCTGACATTTTTTCCCCGAAAAGAATGACCTCCGCATACGGTCTTATATCGGCTGGTTTATCTAAAACAGAGCATAACAAACTCTTGTTGAAACTCTTAACATTTCTCCAAAATTCTCGAATCCGTTTAGCTGACCGAGAAGGTTTTGATTCTTCCTTAAATATTCTATTTCTGGCTTCGTAATATTCCCTTACACGCACGTGTAAGGGTTTAAATGAAAACATAGATGCTGAATTGGTTGTGTCACATTCGGGAGAGGTATTATTATTGGTATTACATTTGATTATCGTACTGGTTGGTTCGGTTGTGGGTCTTTTCAAAATATTTACTCCACATCCGATTTTCGTTTTGGCGCACCCCCTGGTGCACTCAATCGCGAGTTTTTTGAACTGCACTTCTTACATGAGGGCTTGTAAGTGTCTGGTGCCCCACAACCGTAACAGAAAATCGTCCTGTCGGACAAACAATCCTGATACCGATGTCCTGTTTGGTGGCAATTCCAGCAACTTACGCTTATGGATGCAATATCATTATTTTCCATATTCAATGACTCCACGTCATCTTCAACCTCACCAAGCTCATATACCTTCTTTCCCACCAGGGTTGGTTTCGAAAGTCCACTACTATGCTTACGGCGAATGTCCTGTAGAAAAAACTCACGCCTTCTACATATGTCCCTAAGTTCCTGTATGGTCGTTATTCGTAAATTCAGTATCTCGTGCTGTATTTCCGGTAAGAGATTTCGTCGCAAAATCTCTACTAACATGTCGTTCGACAAAGGCTCTTTTAACCTATCAGTTAATTCGACCACAGAATCATAAAAACTATCAAAGTTTTCGCCTTGCTTCTGTTTCCGGTCTTGAATCAACTCTCTGACGTCTACATCAGAGCGAGAATCACTGTATTGTTGTTTCAGTGCCAAGCACAAATCACTCCAGGAGACACTGGAGACCGATTTGTGGTAACGCCAAAACCAGTCAGCTGCCTTTCCCTCGAAAAGGGAACTGGCATTTCGGCAAAGTAAATCGAAATCCCCGCCGAGAGTTTGAACTGTCAGTGATTTTATTCTATAAATAAAATTATCCACACTTAACCCAATTGGACTTCCTGAAAATTTAATTCTCCAATTGGATATAATATGCAAAACTTTGTCAGGCCTAGTAGACAAATCTGAAGACAATGAATTATTTGTGGTTGACGGTCCAGAACGGCTAATGTTAAAATTCGGATGACTTTGGGAGTTATTAAGGGATATGCCTAGCATTTCTCGAAATGTCTGCTCCTCAACCGCAGGTAACGTTTGGATCTGCCTCGGTGGTGTGTTTTGAACATTTGATGGTGCAGTAGAAGTACCCAGATTACTTATACTCATACCTGCCAATTTAGTCTCAATAGTACTCTGAACTATGCGTGATATCTGTTCCCCTAAACTTGCTAATAGTTGGGCTTGTTGGGCCGAAACAATAGAGCTAACCATCTGTTGAATCTCACCAGGGCGAATACCAACAGTATTGTCAGTAATATCCCCAGGACGTACATTTTCCGTTGCGCTAGGCTGATCAACTGAGGGTATATTATTCGTCGCTTGAGCGGATGATGTTCGACTTTGGGATCTAGTCGACACACCTGACGGGTTAGGGGTAGGAGTTTCACTGAACAACCTAGCATTGCAAATAGGGCAATAGGGTCTAATTTTTTCACATTTTGAAAGACACGACTTATGAAATGTGTGTCAACAATTCGTTTTAAGAAACTGAGCTTTAACAGTTATCAAAGAAGCGCAAACTCCACATGTTCGGTGTTTTTCCACCGATGTTTCTTGAGCAATGACCTCACTGCTTTGCTCCACAGACATCTTGATTATAAAGAAAAGGGGTTTACCAATCCAAAAGTTTAAACTCAATTCATTAAATTATTCAATAAACAACGTGTTCAAACCATTTGGCAATGTATAAGTACTGGCTCATCAATTCGTTAATATAAACAAAATAACTCAATTTATAGGATTAGATAATTGACTCAAATGAATGCCGACACCTTCAATTCGACAAACACTTTATAATCAAGAATTGAATTTACTACCAAGATACGATTCAATGCCTCACAATCTCCGAATGAATTTATTTATAGTACCAAAAAGGATATTAATTAAAAAACCAATTATTGCCATAAAAATGATCAAACTTAGAAACAAATTATACCTAAATGTTTCTACCCATAGGATCCGAAAAAAATCAACGAAAAGTACCTTTAAATGATTGAACAACCTACAAATCTGCGCAATTTTGTTATTCAATATAACAATATTAACCAATATTCAATATAAATAGAAATGAAGATAAATTATAAAAGTAATTAAAAAAATGAAAATATATTACTTAGTTCCCTAAGAACAACGGACTACCAAAATTTATTTTATTTTTTTTTCTATCCGTTTGACTTTTCTCCAGTAAGACGGGTTTGCTACATATAAAACAACATTTTGCAGAGAAGAAATAGAAATAGCAGTATTGATTAGAAGATTAAAATCATCCAAACTTTGGCATAAAAACGATTTTTATATATCCAAAAGAATGGTAAATAATTATTCTAATGCTCTAAGTTAACCGAGGTCAGAACTAGTATTATTAGACCCAGAAACTGCATTCCATCGAATTCCTTAGAACGAAAAACAATAAAATAAACATGAGGAAAGTACAAAGATTTGGGGGCCATTTAAGGATAATATTCTGACCATAAATGGATTCCATCCAATTCCATATACCTTTAAAAAAATAAGAAACAGATAAATAGTAGAAATTGGAAAAGTATTTTTTTTTTTTTTTTTGTAATGCCGAACAAGTATGACTAAATGCCAGGTGTTGAAAAGTATACAAGTTTTCATTCGGGCCTACACGTTGGGCGCCATTTTATATTCTGTAGCATATAACGTAGGGTAATTAAATGTGGCTGATGTTAATGAGAACTCAAATGAAGGAAATGCACGTAAGAAAAACCAGCCTTATCGCTCGACGGAGGGGGGGTTCAAATAACTTCATTGTTCTCATACCACTCTGCTAATAAATATAAAAAATACGTGCATTTTCAGATTTTTCCAAGTAAAGAAACAGAAAGGAAAGTTCACAGAAGGATACGGAAATGAAAGGGACAGTTTTATGAAATATACAGATGAGAAAAGGAAGTAGTCATGCAGAATGTTGTTCAGCAAGAAGATATTGTGTTGCCAACACCCACCCATCCATGGTTGCAACCTGTCGAAGAATACTTTTCATTGCAACCCCTTCATTAATAACATAGCAACCCTTTTCTTACATTCGAGAGTAGTCAAACAGATTTGGTTCTAAATCTATTCAGAAGACATTTTATATTTATTGACTAAAAATCCATTGGTAATCATCGATATTTGTTCTTATAGACAAAATGAATTTTAAATTACTTAATTGTTGTATAAAACTAAGTTAAATGTAATTTTAAAATCTTAATCTAAGGAAATCTTTCGAGTATTATTATTAAAGTTAAATTCAAAGGAAAAAATATGTTAACAACAACAATCTCTCATATTTTACGTGGGCATTCCACAAATCTTCCTCGGCTTCAACATTAATGATATTGAAGTGTAAGGAAAGGTATTTTAGCTTTACTTGATTTTGATGTGAAACAAAGAAATTATCTGTATCACCATCTAATCAACATAAACAAAAGAAGCAGCCAACATTTTAATAATAAAATTTCATCTGATTTCGTCGATAGTCATTTCAATCACAAATAGTTTACTCTTTTGATACACCAAAAAAAAAAAAACAAAAAAATAAATAGAGTAAATTAATGACTTACTTTTGTTTTGGTTTCTCCTCCATCGACGAAAGTATACTTTCTCGTTGGCCGAGCTGCAGCAAAAAGGTAAACAGTAATGCACAATAAAAGAAATGTACACTCTCCAATATCACGTTATGCTCCAAAATTATTTGATCACTGTGAGAGAGATGTGGAGACTTAATATGTTGGTTGCTTAATAAAGTAAAATGTTGCTAAGATCGAGATACTTAACATGGTGTTAACATAGGTCATGTTAATTAACATTGGCGTAAAACATCAACCGAATGTAACATATAACAGTAGCTTCTACCGAAACCGACCGCTAATGATCATTAAAAGTACAAAATCCGAATGAAATTATATGTATGTAACAATGTATATTTGGTTGATGTTCTTTACCAAACGGGAATTAACTGACACTCACTTTATGCACATAGAGATTGTTGAAATATTATAACAAATTTATATACATTCTTCAAACAAATATTAAAAATTAAATGGAAACAAAAAAATACACTCGAAAGAAATAATGTGTAGAATTAAAAGTAAATCTTCGTACTTAAAAACTATAACTAGCCAAAATTAGTGTTAACCTTTTTTTCAACAATGACTTTAACTATGAATGTAGCACTATTTACACCAGGTTTGATCGCAATATTCACTTCACTTCAAATTAGGTCCTATATTTTGTTACCTTTTGCTGGTTATAGTTACACTTCAATTCTCTCACCAGGTCTCGATATTGTTCGTAATACTTCGCTGCCAGGAGGAAAACAGTATTTATAGGTTAGGTGAAACCCGACTCAACAGAAATATTAGGAGCCGAGCTATATAAGCACTAATTATGTACGGGATGAATTTTTCGGGCACTAATATCACTGATTTTTCCTTTTCAATCGTTCTAATACTGGACTTTTTCATGTACAATGACATTATTCTTAGCCTCGTGGCAGACCGGCACGAACTGGTTCGATGCGAAGACAATGATTACAGCGGAGTTAAATCTTATGGTGAGTTACAGTGTGATAGGCATAAACGGCGATAATCTTCAAAAATTCTCTCTCCACCTCTTGCTAAATGCCCGTTGCTTATGCCCAAAAGCAACTAAGCGAAAAACCTATGTACAAAGTTAAGTTGTTATAAACGAAACTGCGTGATCAATAAATGAGATAATTACCAAATGTATATATTTCAATGGTACGTGAGGATATTCCAAACAGTGGAGAATGAAAATTCTTTTGCCGGTTATGGTTATTCGGTATAATATAACCATAAAATTCTTCATCCGATTTGATATAAAACAACTAGATATAATGAAATAAGCCAACATCGACACTGATTCTCAAATAAAAAAAATTACCACTTACTAGTTGTAGAAAAATCAAATTCAAACAGAAGGAATATTTTACTACTGAAAGAACTTAATAAAATTATTCACTTCAGTTTATAAATATTATATATACTTTTTTTTCTTAAGTTTCTTAACAATTTTTGATGTTAATCTTAGACTTATTTCTTAGCAAATGGACGATACTTTTTCCCTGTTGCATACATGTAGTCTAAAACAGAAAGGTTTCCTAACGTTTTATTTCCAGAAAATGGCAAACTATTAAAAGGAAAAGTATAATAAATATCAATAGCTGATACATAATGTTCTGACCAAACAACCAACTCAAGTACAGAGGTCACTGTCATAAAGGTAGTTATAAAACGGAATTTTGAATTTCTTACCAAAATGCTAATGGGAAGAGTTTTACCTACGCAAGCGCTATTACAACGTCGCGTACCACACATAAGGAGTTTAAAAAACGCGATTTGACATTGGTGGATACCAGTGAAGCGGCTGTAACTGTCACCATATGGGGAGATGAAGCCGTCAATTTTGATGGCCACGTACAGCCAGTGGTTTTGGTAAAGGGTGGCCGTATTAACGAGTTCAATGGCGGGAAGTCTGTTAGCATTGGTAATGGTTCGACTTTGAAAATAAATCCAGACATACCAGAAGGTCACAAGCTACGTGGTTGGTTTGATAATGGCGGTGGTGCCAACGTAACCAATTCAGTCTCAGCAAGGTATGAAAAATGTTTACAATATTAAACATTTTTATTCTTTTATTAATACTTTGAAAATATCTTATTTTAGAACCGGAGCTAGTGGTAGTTTCAGTACAGAATGGCTCACACTCTACGAAGCTCGAAACTTGGGTACTGGCGACAAACCGGACTATTTCCAAACAAAGGCCGTTGTATATTTGATTAAGAGTAATAATACCTACTACAAAGCTTGTCCCCAACCCGATTGCAAGAAGAAAGTTATCGATGAACAAAACGGTCACTATCGTTGCGAGAGATGTAATGCCGATTTTACCAAATTCAAATATCGTCTTTTGATCAATGTTAGTAGAAAGCGAAGCATTTAAATTCGATATAAATTTTTAAATTCCATTACTTGTAATTTTACTCCAGATGAGCATTGGTGACTGGACTTCAAATCGTTGGGTTATATGCTTTAGTGATATGGGCGAACAGCTATTGGGGCGCAGTGCCCAAGAAATTGGTGAAGCATTGGAAAATAATCCCACAGAAGCTGAAGAAATTTTCACATCAATGAATTTCCATTCATATGTTTTCAAATTGCGTGCCAAAGTTGAAACCTATGGGGTAAGATATGTTATACCCGTTAAATTTGATTTCAGAAAATAATAAATATATATATATTTTTTCAATTTTTCAATAGGATATGAGTCGCAGCAAATTAACCGTACAATCGGCATCTCCAATCAACTATAAAGAATATAATAAATATTTGATTGACAGTCTGAAAGAAATGACTGGTATTAATAAGGCTTAGTTTTAGAATTACAAAACAATAATTATACATCCATACACATACTATATTTCCGTTTATTTACGCATCTTGAAATTTATATGATTTTTTTATTGTAATTGTTTATCATATTTTTTGTACTGTTTTCGTTTTGTTGTAAACCCGAAAAATTACATTGTAATTAAATATTATTTGAACTTAATTTTGGAGTTATATATTTTTATGAGAACCGAGAAGTTCTGAGAAGCAATAAGAAAAATAAAATATATTAAAATTATTCAAACCTTTAAATTATGTTTTTTAGCCTATATAGCTGAAGGTTATAATGGCATTGGATCGGAAAGATTGAAATTATATATAACTAAATTAAAATTGAAATTGAGCTTTAAAATTTTGCACATCCACTCATAGGATTTTCGGTATTTTCAAGGTTTAAACGCATTTTACGATCGAATTGGTTTTATCTTGGAATTCCATTCCAGGAATGTGAAAAAAACAAGCGATATAGATATATGTTTTGCAATGAGCTCCATATTGTTCTTAGTCAAATCTGTATTCGTTTTGTTTCAAGAATTCTTAAAGGCGTGGATTAAAAAAATGTTTTTTTAGAATTCCATAAGGCGTGGATTAAAAAAAAATACTTTTCGTACTCTTCTAGTTCGAATTTCCAAAAACCCAGCCTTTTCTCATGCCTACACACCAACAACAACCCACACTCAAAATTTCAAGCAAAATTTCTGTCGGTCTTACGTTATTACGATAATAAAACATGTGTATAATAGACCTCCGCAAACCATAGTCTGAGGGTGTATATTTGTCGGCAACTTCGAGTGGCCCATTTTTTTTTGTTTGTTTTTATTTTAAAATTATGAATACATCCTACAAAATACCCAAACAAGTGCGAGCATGTCCTTATTTTTCTGAAAATGTATTAATCGAATATCAAAACTATTTGTGAAACTCGTCATCCATCCAGCAAATCAAAGCGATTAGGATCATTTTTTATAATACGCATAATTTTCGTAGTTCTCTGTTGTGAAAATGCTTGTCTATGTAAATGTATATGGGAAATTACAAAATTGTTTTAAAATTCCATTAAAAAATATTTGAAAATTTTTTTTGCGAGCACATTCCTGATTTTTGGTACATAGGTTAAGGAAAATATGCTGATTCGAAATCTGTTTGCGGTCACAAATTCGGATGCTGCGCACAAAAGTTATAGCGGTTTTAAATCTTGTATTTCAAATATAAATTAAATGAATTCCTATTTGTTGTAATTCGCGAATTTCTTCACAAATGGATAAACTCATTTGTTTTCTTTGCATACTTGTCAAATCACATTGAAATATGGTATAATAGTCGCGAAAAACATATAGAACCACGAAGATATCTGAAAATAAAATAAATTAATTTTTGAATTAAAACAAAAAGGTTTTTTGAATTTTCGATTTTTTTGGTATGGTGAAGAGGATACGGTTTTGTCGTAATCTTCTAAAATATACGACGCATTCTTCTGCAAATTCTTTTAGATGACTGTTAAATATCGGTAGATTCATCTAATAAAAGTTTCGACGTTAAAAATGACTAAATATATTGCACTTACAATACATAAAAATGGTCAATATTGAAAAGCATGTAATTCGCGTATTCGTGGAAATCAGTTGTTGCGCTTGCGGTTTTCGTATAAACCGAATCAATCTCTTCCAATAATTATGAATTTTTCGAAGTTTAATTTAGCGGTCAAAGTGTACCGCTCGATGCACTTTACTATGCAAAAACCCTAAAAATGGCTAAAAATCCCGCAACGTGCATACGATTTTTATGCACATCCGATTTCAGTAATCTCCTATGAAAATACACGAAAGGACACCTATTTTAAAAGGATTGGTTAAGAACCGCGGATGTGCCTCCAAAATCGACTTTAGATAAAATGCGCATATTATTCGCGTATCGATATATTTTTGACCTATTTTCATACAGATTCGCGAATATGATAACACATGAATGATTGTATGTGAAATAAATTCGAAGAAAAACGCGATTATATACGCGAATTTGTCAAAATAAGTATTTGCAGTTTTTCCCACATTCAAGGTACCTATATCCGCCGTTGTATTGGGCGGAATTGAACAAGGATGGGCTCATTAGATCCGGCATGTAAAAAAACTAGAATCACACGGGGTTCCACGGAATTTGAATGGACTTTCTTAATTTTAGACTCAAAAAATATGTTTTTTATAAAAATTTACGCACCAAATTTTCGTCTTTGGAACCCAATTGCAGAGAAGCTACGATGAGCACATTTATGAGATATACACTAAACGAAGCAAAATCACGAGTTCTATAATCCTAAAATCAGTTTAGTCCATTATCTGGATGCGCATCCTAATTATAAGAAAAATTCAAAAAACAACGAAAATCCGGCTTCAAAATGTCAACATCCTTTTTGGGTGGATGCAGGGATTATATCGAAAAATCATACATTAGAATCATATTGTCCATAGGGTATTCTGCAACTTAGTCACTGATCACATGTGAGTGCGTTGTGTAGTTTAGCCACAAATCCGGAACGAACATAAAAAAACTCGTTGGCTTCAACACATTTTCACCATTACCACCATCACAGCTTCCACCAAACTTATTATTTATTACCAATATTTTAAGATTTTGACAAGAACACTTCATTTTATAGAAAAGAATTTAAATTATATGCAATTTCTTCATATTTCGCGATTTATTACCTTGCAAACCTCAGCTTCAAGGAATTTAAGAGATTTTTGTAATTTCCCATATAAACAACACATTCTACCCTAACAAATAGTGAAAGTTTCATCCAAATATCTCAATTCATTCTCAAGTTATAACCATTTGAGGTTGACCTTGTGCACAAAATATAGTGGCTACATGATTATGTTTGCCTAGTACCTCAAATGAGAAAACACGAAATAATTGCATCTTCACAAAACAAAATAGAAAACTGCAGTGGCAACGTTGCCAGACTGTTTTATTTTTTTTTTTTGCGTGTTATGCCTGAGTTTTGCTGCATGTTGGTAAATTATGAGCATACTTTCAAGCGCAGTACTCACATTAGAAATGTATGCGAAAAATGTCGATGTCAGTGGGTTGGAATGTAACGCCTAAAGGTATGTTCATCATTTTGAATCTAACAATAAAACACTATGAAAGCGATCTGGTAACGCAGCTAGCTAGCTCAATTTTTTGGGGTTTTGTGCGATATGCATTTCAGCCTTTTTTCCAGTTTTCGGTTGAGATATTTAGATGAAACTTTCACTATGTGTTAGGGTAGAATGTATAGTTTTAATGAATGTCAATAGAGAAGCATTTTCACAACTGAGGACTATAAAAATTATGTTAATTTGAAAAATTGCCCCAATTGCTTTGCATTGCTGGATGGATGGATGTAAATGTAAATGGTCCACCAAAGTCCCTATATATCTTTCGATTTGCACGAAATTTGGCACAGCGTAATGAATTAGGTCTAGAATGATGTGTGATAGGTTTGCTGAAAATCGGGTCAGATTTAGACCCGATGAAAAAATCACAAATGAAAAAAATAGTATCGGTTGCAGAATGACATGTTTATGGATCCAATTTATTTTACTGGTCCTTTAAAAATGCGACGTCTGTTAGGATTCATCTGTTGAATATACCCAAATTGGTGAAGGGTATTATATAGTCGGCACCGTCCGACTTTACTACTTTCCTTACTGTTTTTTTTTTTTTTTTGTATTTTTACAGATGTTTTTTGTAATATTTGTATTCCACTTCGTAAGTATTTCGTGTATAAAACATTTAAATTTTAACCCATTATTATTACAAAGTAGTTAATTAATTACTATAAAAAGTACCTTCGGGGTACATTCGGCATTTTAAAGTGGGGCACATTCGGCCATATACAGATAGTGCAATATTATTTCCTTAAAATGTTTTTAAGTTTGTCCTTAAAAATAATCCTTTAATATGCTTCAAAATTACCAGGCTATGACTGTGGTGCCGAATGTGCCCCATCAAATGCCGAAGCTACCCCGAGTAGGGGCACATTCGGCGAATTTTTTACAAAACTGTAAAAATGTTTAACTAATGCTAATTTATTATATGTTTTTGGTACCAGTTTTTACAATTAAGTATTAAAGGACAATAATCAGTACTGAGATATAGAGCTCTATACAAAAAGTGCCGAAGGTGCCCCAGTCTCCCCTACTAAATTCAAAATGAATTCATTTCATTTCAACATTGTTTCATGTTGTTTTAACAATCCACAACTTAAATTCAAACTTGTTCCAATTAGCATTTATATTTCACAATATCAATTAAGGGAACCCCACCCATTCTCGATTTTAATTTTTCAAGATTTTCAATGGGCTGGTAAATCAATACCAATGCTTGTTAAGGTTTGTAACTTTGCACATATATAATTGAAGATTTAAAAAAGAAGAAAAATAATTTACAAAAAATTTTTGCTATTGTTTTGTTGTTGTTTTTTGTAATTAAAGAAAAGTCCTTATTTTTGATGGCGGGCATGATAACTCCTCACTGGAACATCGGAATCCGAAAATTCCAACGGTGTTAGAAAGAGTACATGTCTGGCTCTCGTATGAACTAGGATTGTTGATTTCGCTCTAAAATTAACAAAATGCCGATTTTTTACCAAAAACCAATTTAAAAAATAAGGAAGATCTTCACCGATTGGCTTTATCCTAGTTCATACAATAGCTATACACTCACAGAAAAACGTGTAAAAATTTGGAATCGATTGGGTTATTAGTTTTTGAGTTGTCGTGCCCGCCATTCGCAAAAGAGAAAAACGCGTTTAAAGTTTGAGAAGCCCTTTAGCCATCACTTGATGCTGACACAATAAATCGGCTATATCTTCAAGAGTTCTTGAGATTTTCACTTGAAATTTTGTAGAGACATTCTTGAATTAGTGTAGAATCGAATTAAATCAAAAAAAAAATTTAACCCCGAGAATGGGGGGGTCCCCTTAAACATGAATGAAATTTTCTTTTTTT